TGAGTACACTTTACACTTTTTGGGGATACTCTAACCCCCCTATATAAAGCTGAAAGGGTACACCTTTTCGGGGCTTATGAACTCAGCAACTAAGGAGGGATGAAGGGTGCCATGAAGGGGAAGTTCATGCAAATGTGGGGCGCGATGGGCGGCTGGGGGGGCAAGGGTGGTGGTGACTGGGGCAAGGGCGGCGGCGACTGGGGCAAGGGTGGCGGCGGTGACTGGGGCAAGGGCGGCGGTGGCGACTGGGGCCAGGGCGGCGTCGGTGGTGGTTGTTGGGGAGCCCCAGCAATGGGTGGCGGCTTCCCCGCCATGAAAGGCGGCTTCCCGGCAAGAGCTGGCCCATACTGAGGAGTATGAACAAGAGGGGTGATCGAAGCTACTCGGCTGCTGTTGAAGAACTTCAGCGCCTTATTATTATTATTATTACTATTATTATTACTATTATTATTACTATTACTATTACTATTATTATTATTATTATTATTATGGCATTATGGCAACTTAACTTCGGTTCCCTTCAACAACGGCCCAGGCTATGAGCCACTCTCGCTGGGCTGTTGGGTCAGCCCGGGTGCCTTTGCCCTGAGTGAAAGTGAAGTTCGGTCCTGCTTTTTGCAGCGCGCAGGTTCTATATGTGGATATCGATGCGGACATGTATACAAAAATTTGGAGCACCGAAGTGGTGTGGACTTGGCAGTATGCCTCACCTCTCCAGGTCCATGGGCAAAAGTGACAAAAGGGTGCGCCGATGTGCCACATGAAAGCATGCAGGAACTTTGCAGTACAACCCTCATGAGTTCTTGTAGGTGAGCAAGCAGTCGCTGGGTACCTGTAATCTCCTCCAGCAAATGGCGGGCCGGTTGCAGGCAGATGTGGAGTTGACCTTGCTGGAGGCTGCCAAGGCCTGAATCCCTGTTTGGGGTTTAGGGTTTAGGGTTTAGGGTTTAGGATTTAGGGTATAGGGTTTAGGGCGTTTCTAGGACCCCGAGTCCTTATCCTCCCGAAACCCTAAACGCTAAAGCCTAAACCTTCTGTCACTCGGGTTCCGTTCCCTTTGAAGCCCCCTTAAGCAGCAAAAAGCGGGTGCCCTGAGGCACTTCCCCGCCTTTACTTCCCTAAGTTTTCCGGTTACTACGAGACGCTGGTTTGGTGTTCAGGGAAGGGGGAGGAGAGCCACAGGCAGAGAGAGAGAGAGAGAGAGAGAGAGGGAGGGAGGGAGGGAGAGTGAGGGAGCTACGCTTGAAGCCCTAAACCCTGAACCCTAAACCCTAAACCCTAAAAAGGTGAGAAGAGGAGACCCAGTCCTGAGCCCAAGACCTTCTCAGTCCTAAACCCTAAACCCTAAACCCCAAACCCCAAACCCCAAACCCCAAACCCCAAACCCCAAACCCCAAACCCCAAACCCTAAACCCTAAACCCTAGCTAAACCCTAAACCCCGAGAGAGCACGGAAGTGGCAAAGCAAGTTACAGGGACCTTGAGGTTCCCTGCTCATGATTCAGGGTTTAGGGTTTAGGGTTTTTGGGTTTAGGGTTTAGGGTTTAGGGCTTAGGCCAAAAGAAGGCCTTCGTTGGTCTGGGTGAGCCTTTCATACGCCTTGTGGGGGATTGTCGGCACAGGGCCTTGAGAAACCCTCGTCGGTCCTCTCACACAACAGCCTCAGCCCAAAGCCCTGAACACTAGGTGCCTACGTTGCGTAAGCCTAGCACCCTAAACCCTCTACCCTACTTCCGAAGCCTTAAACACTATGGACTAAACCCTGAACACCCTAAACCCTTAACCCTTAACCCGAAACCCTAAACCCTAAACCCAGAGACCAACCCCATCAACACCAAATCCTTCTTTGCAGGAGCAGGTACGGCTCATTACCTCTGTCCCAGAGGGCTTGCTCACCGATATCTCCGAGTCAGGAGGGGGAGTGTTGGATTCTGGCTTAGGCCTACACCCTAAAGCCTAAACACTAAACCCTAAACCCTAAACCGACAAGCCTTTGGTTTTGCCAGGGATCGGGCTTTGGTTCGAGGAGTCTCACCTTGACAGGGCCCGACCCTTTACACCCCGCCGAAGTTAGAATCTGGTGTGATGTACTACAGGAGTTTAGGGTTTAGGGTTTAGGGTTTAGGGTTTAGGTGTTCAAGTTTGCCTAGATGAGACCTCATCCTCCCGAAGTATCTATATCTATATCTATATCTATGTCTATATCTATATCTATATCCATATCTATATTTATATCTATATCTATATCTATATCTACATCTGTATATATATATATATATATATATATGATATAGACCTACCCGAAGTTCCGAAGCACCCATTCTACTTCAATTGGCCCCTAGAACAACTAGTAGGTCGTGGCTTCTGAGGATGCAGACCCGGCAGCTCAGGGGACTAAAGGAAGTACCTATAAAGGGTGATTTAGGGGTCACTGAGGGGCTACGTCGGGTATATAGGGACCATATAAGGTATACCTAAGGGTTATATAGGGGAATAAGACCCAGGGCCCCTTCTAGGGATCCCTCCTTCAGCCCCTTAAGCAGGACTACGCCGGGGTGCGAGGAGCCTGCGCGCGCGCGGCCGCCTCGCGCGGTGGCGGGAGAGGGCCTCGGGCGAGGTGGAGGAGGAGCAGGAGGAAGGGCATGGCCAGGCGCGGCCGCAGGTTTCTCGTTGCCAAGAGGGTTTAGGGTTTAGGGTTTAGGGTTTAGGGTTTTAGGGGTTTAGGGTTTAGGGTTTAGGGTTTAGGGCATCCCAAAGAGCCGATGTGTTTCGCCGCGTTTCGCATTGTTGCATCGTCGCATGTGCGAAGCTTTCGGTATTCCCATGCGCATTCCGCAGTTGACACTCCGGAGGTCGCTCTTATAGCAGTTTGTATTTCGTGCTCCTGCCGCAGTTCCTTCTGCGCGGGGGACTGTCCTCGCTTTTCGGTCTTGGCATACCAGTTCCGAGGGTCGTTCTCAGGTGATGCGACAACACAGGGCTTCTTGTCCGGCATGGTATGGGTAGGGCCCGCTGAAGTCGTCCGACTCCATCTCCGTTCCAAGTGGCTTTGCTTTAGGGTATGTGGGTGTAGGGGAAAGGATGCACCACAAAAGGCGCCTTTGCACGGCTGCATGCCAGGTCAGCGCGGCAAATCTGGAGTTGCAGCACCTGAAGTCCATGCACGAGACCCTGCAGAAAGAACACGATGGACTCAAACAGCAACACCAGGACCCGTGGTTCAGAAGCTGGGGGAGCAGGTTGTGGGTTGGGGATGGAACCCTATAAACGCGACCCTTGCACAGGAGCTGGTTGCACAACTCGCTCAAGAGGAGATTCCGGAAGGGAGGCTGCCTCCTGCTCCGGAAGACCCGGCGTCGCTGGAGCAGCCAGAGCCGACGGCAGACCTGCCGGAGCTGTCTCCGGAACCACCAGAAGAGCCAGAGGAACTGCAGCCGCCGGCAGCACCGGCGGCGCCCACGGAACCCGCGGCAGGCGACCCGCCGCCACCTCCGAGGAAGCTGCTGCAGCCGACCCCGAACTCGGACGCCACTCCCAGGTGGGGCTGGTGGCGCAACAGCCGCGTCGCCCCGGAGCCACGCGGCGAAGGCATCACCCGTCACGTGGTGCGCTTCAAAGACGGCGTGCAGCTCGGGCCGCCCCGCTTGGAGAGGGTTTGGGCGGGTGCGGGCGCAGCGCACGCGGGCTACGCGGCTGCCACGCCCCCAGCTGCCCCGCCAGCACCAGCTCCAGCAACGTCCCTTGGACCCCCAATGGTGCCCCCCGTGTTTTTGTTCAAGCGGGTTAGGCTTCCTGATAAATCTCCGGAAGCGAACATCTTCCTCCATTGCTCCTAGTAACCTAGTAGCCTACACCCTTTCACCCAAAAACCCTCAACTCCATAACCCTAGAACTCTTAGAACCCTGCACCAAGCCCTAACCACTAACTCGGTTACTGAGAAGAATAGCCCAGGCCCGCCTACGGGGATCTGAGCCGCACTGGACTACCGGATGCGTGGCAGCTCCACCAAGTCTGGGAGCGGCTGAGTACGCCGGCCGTGGTGCCTCGGCTTAGGGGTTTAGGCCCGAAACCCTGAACCCCCCAACCCTAAACCCTAAACCCTGCCTACACCCTAAACCCTAAACCCGAAACCCGAAACCCGAAACCCGAAACCCGAAACCCGAAACCCGAAACCCGAGCGACAGCATATTCTTCGGACTGTTTGCGTGGCCAACCGAGGTGCCTGCTAGCATCCCAGGCTGTGCACACCTCAGCCAGGAGCCCAGGGTCGGTCGGTTTAGATTTTAGGGGTTTGGGTTTTAGGAGTTTAGGGTTTAGGGTTTAGGGTTTAGGGTTTAGGGTTCAGGGTTCAGGGTTTAGGGTTTGTGGCATCGGGGCACTGTCCCAGAAAGCGATACCCTACGAGAGGTGCTTGAGCTGTCCCAGGGAGTTTCATACCCTCAACTCGGGAAGAGACCTTACCTTTTCTGTGTGGGGTTTCCGAAATTCGGTGTACGTTACTGTGGTCCTCATTATACGAGAATCCTACTAGTATTTGGGGATCTATATTGGGGGTCCCGTACTTCGTAAACCCCTACATGAGAACATATGATTTAACATATGATAACATATGATAGCCTGTGAAAATTTACGATCATGTATGATCACATATGATAACGTATGATAGTCTATGAGAACGTATGATAACATATGTGGTACATGATCATATATGAGAAAGTATGGTCATATGTGATAATGACCGATAACAGTGATAGTAGCTTCTCCAATCAAGGGATGGACCTTTCAGATGACCTCACAGAGAAGCGAGTCGCACACAGAACTGTCTCACTAGGGTTTAGGGTTTAGGGTTTAGGGTTTAGGGTTTAGGGTTTAGGGTTTAGGGTTTAGGGTTTAGGGTTTAGGGTTTAGGGTTTAGGGTCCCGGAGCGAGCGAAAAGGCCCGACTCGAACTTTGCAGGAAGCCCCAAAATGTCAACCGAACGGTCCCCAGCCCACAAGAGTGGTGCACGGCAGCCCCTGTAAAGTTTAGGGTTCGGGGTTTAGGGCGTAGGGTTTAGGGTTTAGGGTTTAATTAGGGTTTAGGGTTTAGGGTTAGGGTCCAGAGGAAGAAACGCCCAGCCTGAAGCCTGAAACCCTGAAAGGAGATTCAGAGCAGGAATTTGCTCGATAACGAGAATGAATTATATCGGTCACATCTTGAAAACGCTGATTTGAATGGAGCCGGATTGATTTTTAACCTTGCTGGCTTCAGGTTGTCATTGGGAGTATCCAGAAAATGAAGATGACAATTAGCTGGGGCGAATGAGCAAGTCATACTGCCGAAAAGGCAGCAAAAAACCTCCAAAGAGCTCCAGAGGCTCAGACAGGGCCCACAGATGCACAAAAAACCTCTTAAAGGGCTTTCGAACACTTCTTAATACCATGGAGAAAGGCAGAAAGTTCTTTGAGCAACAAGCTAGGAGGAAAATCCAAAAGAGGTGGGACGCACGCTCAAACACAGCTGGTCAAAGTTCGCCCATAAACTCCGGACAAGATCTATTTCGTGGACTCAGACCCACGCCACCTGCAGACCCCAAACCCTAAACCCTAAACGGTCCTAAACCCTAAACCCTATAGACCTTAAACCCTAAACCCTAAACCCTGTATAAACCCTAAACCGAGGATATGGTACTGCCGGGGAGGCCTGCCAGGACTTGCGGCTGGCCGGTGGAGCAGGCGCTTTGTTTTCGTGTCTTCAACCCCAAACCCTAAGCCCTAAACCCTAAGCCCTAAACCCTAAACCCTAAACCCTAAACCCTAAACCCTAAACCTTCGATCCCCACAGCCGATTGCGGGTCCTCACTGCTCTTTTTGCTATGGTGGCTGTAGCTGTTGTGGCTGTGTGTTCTCTTTCGGTTCTGGTGGATGTGGTCGGGACCTAAACCCCGAAACCCTAAAAGCCCAGGATTAACATGTAATTTGTACTGGTTAGGGTTTAGGGTTTAGGGTTTAGGCCGTACAGAGTGTTTTCACAACCACTCGTGCCAACGCAACAAACAAGCCTAAACCTCTTCAAAAACATCAACGCCGACGCCAAAGGCTCCCAAAAAGCCCTAAACCCTAAACCCTAAACCCTAAACCCAAAATCCTAAGCCCTAAAAACCCTAAACCCTAAACCTAAAGACCCCCCCAAGAGGCCCTCAAGAGGCCCTCAAGATCGCCCGCAAGGTCCTCACAAGATCCGAGAACCGAAGGCCTCAAAAGGCTTTTCACAGGCCCCTGAAACCCCCTCCTGCCTTTTCAGGGTTTAGGGGTTTAAGGGTTTAGGGCTTTAGGGGTTTAGGGGTTTAGGGGTTTAGGGGTTTAGGGGTTTAGGGGTTTAGGGTTTAGGGGTAGCCGGCCTACACTTGCACCCCAAACCTGGGCGCCAACCCTATACAGTTTCTAGAAGCCCTTCCTTTGAACTGAAGCAACCCCAAAGCCCTAAGGCCTTAAACCCTAAATAGCCTAAACCCTAAAAACCCTAAACCCTAACAATCCTAAGGCCCTAAACCCTAAACCCTAAACCCTAAACCCTAAACCCTAAACCCTAAACCCTAAACCCTAAAGTCCACAGGCGCGCCCATTGTGGTGGTGGCCGTCTCCTCGCAAGGCCTCGCGCGCCAGGCTGGGGTGCTGCCAGGCGCTTGGGGCCTTCTCTAGGGTTTAGGGTTTCGGGTTTAGGATTTAGGGTTGGAGGTCTATTTTTTTTAGGATTTTTTTTTTGTCCTTGCTACTGGTACTACTACTACTACTACTACTACTACTACTACTACTACCACCACCACTACCCATACCCACTACCCACTGCCCACTACCCACTACCCACTACCCACTACCCACTACCCACTACCCACTACTCACTACCCACTACCCACTACCCTAAACCCTAAACCCTAAACCCTAAACCCTAAACTCTAAACCCTAAACCCTAAACCCTAAACCCTAAACCCTAAACCCTAAACCCTAAACCCTAAACCCTAAACCCTAAACCCTACAACAAAAAACTTCCCCCCAAAAAAAAAAACCTAATTTAATTCTCCGGCCTTTAGGGTTTAGGGTTTAGGGTTTAGGGTTAGGGTTTAGGGTTTAGGGTTCAGGGTTTAGGGTGTAGGGCTTGGATCGGCGTCTTATGTAGGAACATGTATTTCAGAGTGGCTAAGATGAGCCAAGGCTTTCGCTTTGGCTTTTCGTGTGCAGGTCTTCGCCGGTTTGGGGCGAACATGTGTCGGCTAAGGTTTGTTTGGCATTTGGAACCCTAAACCCTCAACCCTAAACCCTAAACCCTAAACTCTTGAACCTCAGGATTCAGCGCAAGAGGCCAAGGTTAGACAGCACCCACTTAAACCCTACCCTAAACTCTAATCCTAAATCCTAAATCCTAAACCCTAAACCCTAAACCCTAAACCCTAAACCCTAAACCCTAAACCCTAAACCCTTTTAGGATTTCAGCTCATGGCCTTGAACGGGCACGACCTCAAAATGGGGCAGCTGGCGCTCCACGGGGAGGAGCTGCTGCCTTCACTGGCGCGCGCGTCCTTGGGGCAGACGCTTCCTGTTGGTTAGTAGGCATGAGGTACCCTATCAGAATCCCTTTAAGGGTATATTGTAGGGGGTTATAGGGTACCCTATTCGAATCCCTTAAAGGGTATATTATGGGGGGATGTATGGTACCCTATTCGAATCCCTTAAAGGGTGTATTATAGGGGGATATATGAGGTACCCTATTAGAATCCCTTAAAGGGTAATTTACAGGGGGATGTATGAGGTACCCCCCCTACATAATCCCTTAAAGGGTATAGTGTAGGGGGATCATAGGGTAACCCTAAACCCTAAACCCTAAACCCTAAACCCTAAACCCCAAACCCCAAACCCCAAACCCTAAACCCTAAACCCTAAACCCTAAACCCTAAACCCTAAACCCTAAACCCTAAACCCAAAGGTACCTCATTCCCTCATTCCCAGTAAGGACGAGGCTGGACTTCATGGACCCCGCGCCGCAATCGCACGGCCTCCCCAGCCTGGGAGAGAAGCTCGCGCGTTTCTTGGGGTTTTTTTGGGATTTTTTTTTTTTTTTTTGTGGGGGGGGGGGGGGGGGGGTTTAGGGGGTTTAGGGTTTAGGGTTTAGGGCTTAGGGGCACCTTCATTCCTAAGAAACGGCTAAAGTTTCAATTCTTGCTAGAGGGTTCCAAATTCAGTACAGGTTTGCCTCTCTTCAGTCCGGCTATTCGTGCATGAAGGCCCTCGCATTTGCCACTGCTCGCCTGTGATGGCTGCGCGGTGTCCAGCCGAAAAAACACTGCGACAAGGGCACCTGTGATGGCCTAGACCTGTCGCCGGCCCGCAAGTACACCACCTGGAAGATCATGCGCACATCGGGGACGCGTTGAATGTGGAGCGACAGATGCGTGATTGCCGCGTAGAGCTAGGCAGCACGCATGTGGAGCTCGAGTGCTCTGGCTCGAGAGCTGCCGCAACCACCTGACTGAAGCAGCTCGTCCGTGGCATTTCGTGAGGGCATCCAATCCATCCCTCCAGACCTATACCGTGGCGGTTCTGGCAACTGCAAGCTCGGAGGTGCACAGTTTCACAAGGGTTGTTCGAAGCACCCTACAACCTACTTATAGAGTTAAAGACTCCACATTCCCTTCCTAACAGCTGCTGCAATAGGTACCGCCGTGTGTAATGAAGGGAAAGAGTAGCTCCCTGGTGGATACAGTTTCACGGTCGGACATGCAGAAATGCATCTTCCGGTTGACTTGTGTAGTCTTGCGCAATGTACGACTGCCACCAAAAGCACATTTGTTTACCAAAGAATACATTAATCCTTGGAGCTGCGAATTCATCTGACTTTCATTGCATGATCTAAATGTGTGTAGGAATTCCCAATGGTTACGTATTGCATTCGTCCACACATGATTGGAGTTTGTCAGAGAACGCAAGAAGGGAGACTCAGAATAGGAGTTTGACCGATAATGAAACAATGAGTGTCATGACCTCCCTTCGTCTGAACTTGCGGGCGCATGACCATTTGTCTGCACAGCTTCTTTTGTTGTGAGGTCGTTGCAATAGTGCAATCTTTGATTGCAGGAGTTTTCGTGGTGAATTGTGCATTGGCAGGATTTCGGGGACATTACAAAACTTGCAAAACTGCAAGATGTCATCGTGCAATCAAGTGCAGCTAAAACAGCAAATCCACCACCATCCAACTAGGAATCCTGGACGGCCACCCGTCTAAGTGACATATTATGCATAGTATTGTTTGCCTCAGGACTTGTAGGTGTAAGCCGAGTGAGGTGTGTGTGAACTATTGGCAAGCATGTCCAGCTGGAACGAAAACATTGCCAGCTTGCATGAAACAAGATCTTTGGGATCAAGCTATTCATTCACCTTCATCCGACTACCGTTGGCCCGTATGGCCATGCATTCCTTGTGGCTGTGGCTGCGCCTTGACCGCCACGCTTGTACGTAATAAGGATAAAATTATAGCAAGAATAATCTAGTACTGTTATTAACAATGATAATCATCATACTACCAGAAATATGTGTACATATATAGACATATGTACATATATATATATATAATATGTAAGAACAATATACATATGTAAATGTGGGAGGAGCCCGGGCCCATATGCATTAGTTTGCTCAATGGCATAGTTGCACCCTCCATGCAGGGTTTCAGGAGGGTTTAGGGTTTTGGGTTTAGGGTTTAGGGGTTAGGGTTTAGGGCTCGGTTCTTCTTCAGGCATATGCACTTCAAACATATACACTGATGCCAGTGACTGCTAGTGAGACACCTCCATATCATGCAGGGGGTCGAGCAGGAGAATTGTTTGTCTTCACCGCGTCGCTGCTCGGCATGCTGCATCTTACTCCACGTGTGTTGCCATCGCGAACATATCCATGCTGCCCTAAACCCTAAACCCTAAACCCTAAACCCTAAACCCTAAACCCTAAACCCTAAACCCTAAACCCTAAACCCCAAACCCTAAACCCTAAACCCTAAACCCTAAACCCTAAACCCTAAACCCTAAACCGTAACCCTACACCCTAAACCATAAACCCTAAACCCAGAGTTGGGTGTGGGGTTTGGGTTTAGGGTTCAGGGTTTAAGGTTTAGGGTCTAGGGTTTAGGGCTCGTAAAGCGCTCCTAGGTGCTTACTATGCAGCCGGAGCAGTTGCGAAGACTGTGCTGCCACAGCTCCGTCATTGCTCCAGCGTGACAATTTGATGCGAATGATGGCAGTTCGGCAGCAAGCGCTTTGTGCATACCCCTGTGAGCTTCATGCGCCGATGTTCTAAACTTTCGCTGCGGGGGTGTATTGTGAGGTCGCCAGTCGTGGAGTCTTTTGGCACTTCCTTGTGACATCACTACAGCACTGCCCACATGAGTGAACTTGTGTAGGAACATCGTCGGTACGAAGTTGGAGGGTCAGCGTTCCAGTTTTTAGTACTTGGACCCCAGGGTGATTGCAACCAAGTTCAACGAAGCATTAAGGGTTTAGGGTTTAGGGTTAAGTATGCAAGGAAAGCATCGAGCAGAAGATCGATGACCTTGAAGAGAAAATGGATGCTGACACCTCGCATGAAGGTGAGCAAGGAGTCCGTGCAGCGTCCTGGCACATACCGCAGGGAGATGTCGGTTTCTGCACAAGTACTGTCGATCCTCTCTGAGAGGGTGAGAAACGCTAAATTGCAAATAACACGAACATTAGATTCAGATTTCAGCCTTGAGCTTGAAGCAGAACAAACCCTAAACCCTAAACCCTAAACCCTAAACCCTAAACCCTAAACCCTCAAACCCTCAAAACCCTAGGCCCTAAACCCTAAACCCGAAGATGTTTGCCCTCTTCCCTTCAGGAAATCCCACAGAGCTCCCTGGCGCCGGTCTACAAGACTTCATTGTTTCAGGGCTGCTCCAGGCAGCCTCGTCGGTGTCGCTTTAGGGTTTAGGGTTTAGGGTTTAGGGTTTAGGGTTTAGGGTTTAGGGTTTAGGGTTTAGGGTTTAGGGTTTAGGGCGTCTTGCAGCAGTGTTCCGAGATGTCTCTGAGTGTTCGGCGATCTCTGCTTGGTCTTTGGCTTCGGAAGTGTCTTATGCTTGGAGTGCACCAAAGCACATGGGAGTTTACGAAAATAAGGGACCCTTAATATAGAGCACCAGATAGTAGGATTCCCTTATAACATTGACCCCAATCAGGTACGCCTAAGTTCGGAAACCCCCATATGATGCCAGGCAGGCCAAAAAGTTCTCGCTGGCAAACGCGATTGCTGGGATGACTCGGGCGGGTCAGGCCAGCAACGACACGCAGCTGATGCAGGCTCAGACTTCAGGGTTCAGGGTTCAGGGTTCAGGGTTCAGGGTTCAGGGTCGAGGGTCTAGGGTCTAGGGCTTAGGGCTTAGGGCGCCTAGCATACCCGGAAAAAACGCTTTTTGCTTCGACTGACCGAAACCTGTAGGACGGTAGGACAATGTGTGTTGCGGGCAAAGCTGATGCAGGACAAATCAGCAGCTGTGTGTGGGCCGGGTGAGCTCCTGCTGACGAAGTACAGCACCTTGGGTTTAGGGTTTAGGGTGTAGGGTTTAGGCTTTAGGGTTTAGGGTCACCCTGTAAAGGATTATATAGGGTACCTCATCCCCTCATTCCCTACGAACCGACCGTAAGGTACAACTGCCGCGACGCCGTCCTGCTGCCCAGCATCGAGCATGAGCTGCGCGGGCTGTGCCCAAGCCTCTCAGGGCACTTGCCAAGAGTGCGCAGATGGCTTCTTCAAGTCGCCAAACTTCTGCGTCTCTTGTGCCGACTCGGCTGGATGGCAGAATCGGGCGGGAAGGACGTGCACACAGATTCTGGCAGGGGAGTGCGATGGTGTGAAGGTCCATGGCCAGAGCAGCAACGAGGTGCGGAGTTGTCGAATGTAGGCTTTGAAATGGGTTCATGCAACCCGAAACCCGAAACCCCGAACCTCAAACCCTAAACCCCTAAACCCTCTCGCATTTGAGCATCTGCTACCTTAGGTGTGCGGCTTTGAAAGCAAGCAAATCTTGATATTGTAAGCCCTCGGGCAATGCTGAGGCCTGCTGTAAGTGTGGGGGCGGGCACCGCAGCCCCACACCTTTCGCCTATGACGTGAAGCATTTTGCTGTGGGCAGCACAGTGCACCTGTGCAGCAAGCGAGATTTGAGTGTGAATACGAGCTTCTGGGGAAGGTTCTGCCCTTTCTCCCGCCCTCATGCGAAGAAGCAGAAGACAAAGAAGCTGAAGAAGAGTATGGAGACTAAGAATGGTCTCATCAGAGTCACAATCAAGACAAGAGGAAGAAAAACACGACCCCACCTAAACCCTCGCGGCCTTGATCGTCTGAGCCGGGTTAGAGCCGTTCGGAGGGGGGCACTACTGAGGTATATGGGGACCATATAAGGTGTATATGGGGGTTATATAGGAATAACATGAAGGGCCCCATCTGGTGGTCCCTCCTTGT